GAGAATTAAGGTCTAGTACTCTAAGGCATCTATTGCTTACTGTGAATTAATTCCTCTTCTGTGTGTCTGGAATGGTACTGGGTATGTACCATCCTTGGGAGAAATGAGAAAATGGTCACTCAAATTATTTTTCTGTGTTTGAGATGAAGAATCCTAGTTTAGAAAGGCTGTTAAAACTCTAAAGAAATCTTTTTCAAAATTGTTAGCAAATTGTCCCATCAACTGAATAATTCTACATCATAGAATTGTTGTGAGGATTATATGATGTAATGCACGTAAGATACTTAGCATGGTGCTTGGCCATAGAGTGAACAAGATAGATGTTAACTGTAATTAATTTTTGTCATTAAATTTTTCTAATTGGGTATATTTTAGGATTTTCTTTTTGGGCTGGTGCTAATTTAACCATATAGGTACCCAATGTGGTTGAATATCTTGGGACTAGTTTTCTACCCTCCTGACCTCTATTGCTACTCTTATTTTATTTTTCAGATAGTTTTTTTCTCTGACTTGTTTTTTCTTTAAGATGGTTTTTAGAATCATTCTGTCAGATTCCAAGAAGAATCCCAGTAGGATTTTTCTTGGTATTTCATTGTCTGTACATTTAGAAAAAATGATGTTTATAATATTTAGTCTTCTCATCAGGGAAGATTGTTTTTCTACTTACTAAAATTTTTTCTTACATTGTTTAATAAAGTTTAATAGTGCTTCTTCACATAAAGCAAAATTACATTATTCCTAGATTTTTTTGTCACTTTTATAAGTGATGTCCTTTCCACCCAGTGTATTTTCTAACTGGTTATTAGTGATACTTTGAAGTTCTCTAGGTTTTTGAATTCATATTCTTTAAGAATACCACCTTTTCTCTTTTCAATATTTCTATTTCTGTTTCATATTTTTTGTAGAAACAATTTCATAACTGCTAAATATATGTGGTGGCTTGTTTTGCTCTTTTAATGGAGATGTCTTATTTTAAGATTTTTGGCTATTGGTTTAAAATACACTTTTTAACTCTAGAAAATTATTAAAGTAATATACACTTACTGAGTATAATTTTCAAAAATTATTAATTACTATGTTCTGTATCTGAAAATTATATAATATTGTACATCAGCTATACCTCAGTAATAAAAATTTTTTAAAGTAATACTGAAAAAAATAGTATAAAAATACACAAAACTGTAAGGAAGTGCCAGTGTATTTGTACTTTTTACGATTTATATCACTTGTTATTTTGAGATGATAAAACTTAACCTATTATATACTCTGTTTAATGTAATATATTATTCTGCTATATATCCTAGTGTTAAAATATCCATGAGATAAATCCTACTTGTAATGGGTGATGATAGTCCTTCTAATATTATACTCTAGTGAATGGGAGAAGTTAGGATCTTACAGTCAGAGGAACTTGGATTTGTATTCTGTTTTGACATTTTTAGCTGAATGACTTTGGCAGAATTATCTAATTAACTCCTTTGAATATTACTGTTTGTAAAATGAGAAACCTATTATAATCTTGACTGCTAATGGCTTTCCCTGCCCCCTGAATTATAGATGAAGTTATCTCAGCGTCTCCTCTTTCACTTAGTCCCCTTCTAACCTGCACAGTTCCAAACCTGGTGGAAATCCGAAGTCCTCCAGAAGGTCATAGAAAAATCTTACTTTCTCCTGATTATATAAGAAAAATCTTATATCTCCTGATTATACCTACTTCTGAACCTTTGCTTACACCATTGCTTCTTCCATTTCTCAGCTCTTTGACCCAGGTGTGAAATTTAGTTCTTTCCTTGATTTTCAAAAAATCCCCACTTTTTTTTAGTAAACTGTATCAAGATTTAGGGAAAACTGTGAAGTAGCAGCAGTATAATTTAAAATAGGGTGGTAGGCATCACTTCTTAAAATGTTTTCAGTCACTGTATTCATGACTTTTACTGGCCGTTCACCAACCTGTCCTGTTTGTTGCTGCTTTCTTTTCATCTTGCTTACCATTAGCTTCCTTCCCATTAAAACCAAACTTTTCCATGTTGCATGCAGAGCAGTTCTACCCTCTCTGAATCTTTGACATAAAACAAATGCCTAGTTCTTTGGGGGTTTTAGTTTCTTTTTGAAGAGCAGTTTTGGTTCTGGCTGTTAATAAAACTTTTCCCTTTTTCCCTTCATTATTACTGTATGTTTTAGGACTGTGTTGAATAAGTTGAATTGAATAACCTTTAAGCATGCAGATCAGCACACATAGTTTTTCCTTCCCCATCACTCCATCTACTTACTTAATACATGTTAATCTTACTATGCCAGTGGCAGCTAAATCATTTTGTCTGATTTGTGGTTGACAGTGCCTCTTTTTATTTCATAAACTCAAACTTTTCTGAGATTCCTTTATATTACTAAGCTTCATGGAATGATTTAAATATTAAGAGTTTGTTTCTATGTGTTAGAAGGTTAATTTTTACTTGTTTTGCAGAAAATTAATTGTAAAAGCCAATATGGCCACAGGAGGAGGTCCTTTTGAAGAAGGCATGAATGACCAGGATTTACCAAGCTGGAGCAATGAGAGTGTTGATGACCGACTCAACAATATGGTAGGATATCTTATTGTTGATTGTGTGTTGTTAACTACTAATGTTAAAATGCAACTTTCCCCTGATTTAGCCAAGTGGAACTCATTGAAACCCTTTGTAAAGTTAAGGTTTTTTGCTGGCCAAGAAATTCAGTGGCCCCGGGCTATTTATTATATTAGTTGGAGAAATTTTTGTTTGCAGGTCAACTTGAGTTACCTTATCAACTTGAGTTACCTTAAGCCAGAAAGATTTCTAATAATAAGGATATGGAAATGTTTTATTGAAAACAAGTTAAAGGAATGTAGCTGGGTTTTACGGAGAGATTAAAAAAAGAAACCAGAAAGTTGTCAAGAATTACTTTTTCACTTTGCTTCTGAGTGCCTCTGCTTCACACAACTTTCTTTTCACAGACCAGTGTTCTCTCTTCTCTGTTCCACATGGCGTACTGTGACAGGTCACCCCTTAATTCTAATGTCTTCAGTTATAGCTGCAATCATGTACTGACTAGTTAGCTCATAGTTCCAATTTGAAATTTTAAAGTATGATTATCACAGTTTGGATGAGATACATATCTCTTTTCCAGTCAGCTATGGCCAGGATTGGGTGGGAAAGTAGAATATGGGGCTTTGGCAGGAACACCCACACAAGGACTGGGGTGGAGGGACAGTTTGTAGAGAAGGGAGTTTTGTTATAAATAAGGAAAATAACCCAAAAGGTTTTACTATAGTAAAACTAAAAGATTGTCCCAGTATGGATAAGGTGGTAATTTATCGACCTTTTTGTTGAATGTATTAGGTTATGTGGGTATAACTAAGTAAACAAAATTATTTCTTTTTAAAACATTAAAAAGGGGAGGGTATAGCTCAAGTGGTAGAGTGCATGCTTAGCATTCATGAAGTCCTGGGTTTAATACCCAGGACCTCCTCTAAGAATAAATAAATCTAATTACCTCTCCCACCAGGGGGGAAAAAAAAACCTAAAAGAAAAAAGAAATAAAATTAAGCATTTTTTTGTTATTTCATATCAGATCTTATGTAGTACATGGTTACTGATAGATAATAATAGTTACATTTATTGCTTACTACATGTGCTAAATGTTCTATATATGTTATTTTTTCTCATGTTTTAAAGATGGCACTATTTTAGAGATTAGGAAACTGAGATTTTGGGGAAGTTAAATAAATTGCCTGGGGTCACACAGTGGAGCATTTCTTTAGATAACAGTAATTGTTTTAGATCCTAGCTTGGTTACAGATCAGTCTATTTACACATACTGACTTTACAGGAGGCCAGCAAAGGTATCTGTAATTAATTTCACTGTTCGATTTATAAACAGTAAGGGACCATTTTTTAAAATGCTTTTGAAAATATTCAAACTGATGCTAGGATTAGAATTTACGTACTTGTGTTTGTTATTGATGTATGATAGGAAAGTAATGTATTTGGAAATTTATGCTAGATGTAGTGGAGGGAAAATGGGTTAGAACAGGTAAATAATTGTCTCTGAGACTATGTATGCATCAGTGTGAAAAATGTTTTGTCATTTTTAAGACTGACAAAAATTTTTAAGCCTACCAAATTATTTTCCTGATTTGGTAGGGGCCAGGTTAACTGTTCCCTTTACTTTTTTAAAGGATTGGGGTGGCCAGCAGAAGAAGGCAAATAGATCATCAGAAAAGAATAAAAAGAAGTTTGGTGTAGAAAGTGATAAAAGAGTAACTAATGATATTTCTCCGGAATCATCACCGGGAATGGGAAGGCGAAGAACAAAGACTCCACATACGTTTCCACACAGCAGATACGTGACTCAGATGTCTGTCCCCGAGCAGGCGGAATTAGAGAAACTGAAACAGCGGATAAACTTCAGTGATTTAGATCAGGTTTGTAAATTATTTTAAAAATTGAGTTATGACTATGAGAAATGTTTATAATAGATTAATTTGTCTTAATCAAAATTGAGCTATTTCCTTTTTCTTAGTTTCTGTGCACTTGGAAGGAATTTTAATCATGGTAATGGTGCTGTGTTCTTTGGAGGGCAGCAAAGTCTTTATTTCTAAATTTGCTGAGGATATGTCTTTAGGGACTTTATTATTACATTATATGACTAATTTAAATGATTTCATTTTGAAACTTAATTTTGCATGCTAGTAATTGAGTAAAATTGCTGTTAAGCAAAAGGGAAGGTCCAGTTTAGAATAAAACTATTGTTTGTATTTATAATCGCTTAAAGTTAGAACTGAAAGCAAGTAGAAATGATAATGACCTGATAATAAATATTTTACTGTCACATCTGTACTTGGTAGAGATAAGGTTTCCAAATATGCATAAAGGTAGATTCAAGTCTGATATGATGATGGTGATGATCGTGTATCATTTAGTTACCTATATACTAGTTATTGAACACTTAACTGTATGTCAGACACTGAGCTGAGTACTTTATCAGACAGTGCTTCATACTGATACATCTTTATGTTGATGGTCATATTAACATTGATGCATTGGATCCAAAGCCTGTGTTAGATTCTGTAATCAAGTATGACTAGCAGTATGAGTTATAATATGGCTCATAATCCTGCCACTTCATTTATACTAATCTTACTCCTATTCATCAGTTGAATTGTCTCTGACAAAATGAGGAATAGGACATGTTAATCAAATTTTGATATTTTACTAAAAGGATTTTGAATGTTTGAAGCTCTTTGAGTCTTAGAACAAAGCTGTTTATATATACCTCCTGAATTGATATCTGATGGTGAAACTGGCTTAAGAACATCGGAGTTTTTTTCATTTTGAAAGTTTTTTTCATTTGTGGGATTTTTTTTCTTTTTCATATATAGAGAAGTATTGGAAGTGATTCTCAAGGTAGAGCGACAGCTGCTAACAACAAACGTCAGCTTAGTGAAAACCGAAAGCCCTTCAACTTTTTGCCTATGCAGATTAATACTAACAAAGGCAAAGATGCTGCTCTCAGTCCTCAAAAGAGAGAAATGGTAGGATCAGCACAGTGTAAAGAGTTGTTTGCTTCTGCTTTGAGTAATGACCTTTTGCAAAACTGTCAAGTCTCTGAAGAAGATGGGAGAGGAGAACCTACAATGGAGAGCAGCCAGGTAATAAAATTTCTTTCTTTTGCTCTTTGTTTTCATAAACCTCAGAGTAGAAACATTAAGTTTAAAAAAAAAATTATACTGGGTTATGCACCTAGAAATTTTAGTTAAGTAGAATTAAAGTACTTCTCTGACCTTCCTTATTAATCAGTTTTATTCAAAATATAAATTTCTTCTTACCCTAAATGATTGTAGAAATGGCATATTCAGGCAAATTAAGATTTCTTTTTATCTGCCAAATGCTATATTGGTAATTTTTAGTACAAAGGAATTGGGAGCAATGTGATTTATAGATAGTTATGGGAATTTTTTTAAATGGTGAAACAATTCTTTTAAAAAGAACTTTCAAAAGTATAATTCTTTTAATTTATAAAGAAATATATACACATCAGAAAAATTTATATAAACAGTTCGGTATGCAGTTTTATAAAGTTTTTCAAGTAATGTAAATTAAAAATAACTTTGAAATTTCTAAATTAATTGTAGTTGGAATTATTATTGTCTGTTATATTTTGATTAAATTCTAAATTTGAATCAGATATTTGCATGTATGAATTCACACAATAAGCCTAGAAGTATTTTTGGTTATATTTGAAATTTAAAAATGTGTAAAATTGTTGCTATTCAATAAATTATACTCAGTTTTATGTAGTATTTATTTTCATGCTTTTTCCCCCTCCCAAATATTTCCCCTGCAGATTGTAAGCAGGCTTGTTCAGATTCGTGACTATATTACTAAAGCTAGTTCCATGCGGGAGGATCTTGTAGAGAAAAATGAGAGATCTGCTAATGTTGAGCGCCTTACACATCTAATAGATCACCTTAAGGAACAGGAAAAGTCATATATGAAATTTCTCCAAAAAATCCTTGTAAGTTTCAGATTTTTTAAATAATGTGTTGAGTTATTTTTGTAGTACATCAGTGTACATATACTGATGACATTCTGATGCCACCCCAGAGGAGTTAATATATTTTCAAAGATCGTGCCATCCATTATAACATTTTATTGCCCTTTTTAATAGTTGTATGATTTATACCACTAAAATATTTCAGGCTAGAGAAAATGAGGAGGAGGATGTTCGGACTGTAGATTCAGCTGTGGGATCTGGTTCTGTAGCTGAGAGCACATCGCTAAACATAGATGTGCAGTCTGAGGCTTCAGATACCACGGTAAGCAGCTTTTTGGTAATTAAAGTGCTGGAAATGAAGATTTAAACTTTTCCCCCGTTTTTCAAGATGATATTTTATAGGCATTCTTTAATGAAAAGTTTATTTCAGGGAAGAAACCCTCAAATTGTTAATGCTGTATATATTCTTTTTAAACATGAGTTTTAAAGTTTTATTTATTAACATTAAAAATTGTTTTATGGCTGAGTACATCTAATAATTTTTGATCTTCAGCTTGCAGAAACCTGGTTTTTCTAGTATATTTCCTTAAGCACGGCTTTACTTATTTTAAGAAGCAATGGGACAGTTAAATTCATCGTGGATATAAGAGCTACAAGTGCAGAGTGTCATTGTTTAGCATGTCTTCTATTGGAAAGGTGTCCAAGTTCCTTTGCCATTGAGGACTCATTTTAAGGCTGTTAGGATTTTCATTTCTCAAGCTAGCCTAGAACTAAAGCAAAACCAGAAGACTGATAAATGGAGACGAAAATGGGACAGGGTAGCATTTACACTGATTTATTATTCCAGTGAGAAAAATCCTGTAACTTCTGACTGCAAAATGAAATGCATCAAAATACTGTATTTTGGAAAAGTAATCAGGAATTTACAGAACTCTGAGGAAAGATTTGTAAAATAAACTTAGTTATTAGAAGTTAATATGAAACTAGTATGCTTTAAAGCACTTTAAACAGGTGCATCTATAACCACGGATTAGTACACTTGAAAACCTGTTACCAGTAATGCCTTTCTCGTGAAAGGATAACCATGTATATCTTTTGTTCCAAAATACCATTCAGCATGAGGAATTTGAGGGTTTGTTTCCTTTTGGTATTGACCTGCATAGTTTTCTTATATGCCTCCTTTCTCTTCCCTGCCCTTCCTGATTTGAAGAGGAAATTTGAATTTTTTTTCTCTCTCCATTATTTTTACCAGGAGATACTCAGAGGGCTTGATCCAAATGGTTGTTGAAGAATGGATTCTGCTGTGGGGAAATTGTTTTTCTATTTACAGTGGTGCTGGAAATAATTTCTTTCTCACATTTCATTCCAGCAGAAAGGGAAGGGTTGGGGCATGTGGGTAAAGGAATTCTGTTGGGGAGGGATGGGAAATGGTATAGTTGATAACTATAATTTTTATCTTAGCATATATAGTGTTCACCATGATGAGAATTTCTTTTATAACATAAAATCATGACATGAAAGTTAATAACATAGAATAAATGTTAAAATATGCTTCAGGAGTTGTTGTATAGATTGGAAATTGCTGAGGATATAATACTCAATTATAATAAGCCAATAGTCTAGTCTTCAGAAATTTAAAAGTCTTAAGTTTTATTATCACTCGGGGGAGGGTGGATAGATGGGGCGGGTAAATTTTTGTATTTATTTATAAGGCTGGCTTGTATGTTAAACAGGAGTTTGTGTTAAGAAATTAATATGCTACACTATTTAATAAAGGAGGCATCTTTTAGTCTGAGAATTCGGCCGTGCATTGAGGACAAACTAGGGAATTCAGCTTCACAAGAACAGGTTTCAGACATTGACGTTACTACAAGTCCAAAAGGGAAAGGTGACAGACCTCCTCAGAATTGCAGGGAACTGAGGCCTGATAGGAAATGTAGCCGAAAACGTGGATTTCCCTCAAAGGTATACTTCATCATATTAACTTGGGAAGTCTCTAAATGAGCACCTCTTTTGTTCATATTTCCTCTTCCTTCTTTGCTTTTCTGTTGTTGCTATTGCTTTCAAATATGTGAGTTATTAACCTGGTTAATTTTACTGTAATTTGCATTAATAAAATGCTGTCCCTTAGTGTTTTTCTTCTTTTCTACTTAACTCTCTTTTCCATGGATTATATGTGACAGCTGTTCTTAACTTACATTAACAAAAAACTTAAAACTTAATTCATTTCCTGTTTTTTTGCTATTGAGAGCTCAAAATATAACACGTTCTTAAACCTTGACCATCAGTTGCCATTTGTTTCTGATATTTGTGTTCATGGGTTAAGATGGTTAAGTTTTGTCTTAGCCCCTGTGGTCATTCGTTAAAAAAAAGAAAACAGAGCAAGCTACTAGCTTTCCTGTTTTTGTAAGAATGAAGTACTTTATATTATTTTTTGGTGTATATTTTTCTTCCCATTGGAAACCACTTCCATTTTTTTTTTAAGAAAGATATTTAATTATTCAGTTGACTTGTTTGCTGATATTTTTGCTATTTTTTTCTCCAGTGTTTGCTCTAAGTGTTCTTCCTTTTAATGTTCTTTTAGTATGCTTAAAGGCACTCAGGAAAGGTTTAAAGACAGCTACTTGTGTAGTTCCACTTAAAATAGTTTTTAAAAAAAGTAACATTTGTGAAAGTGCTTATATCCATTTGGCAAGAGTAAAGTACTTTTTCAATAATTGAATATAGATGAGATCAATTTCATATGTTTTATTACTAGCTTATTACCTAGGATTAGGCATTCTTTTCTGTTAGGCACATAGTTTACATTTTCTGTGGTTGTTTAAAAATGGCAACACTTAATCTCTAGGTATTTGACTTTTGTTTTTTGGCCCCTTGGCTCCCAGGAGGGTTTGAAGATACTGTGCGAAATCAGCTATAGTGATCTTGCTATAAAATGTTAAGCAAAAGGTGTCCCATTTCAATAGAAGAGTAAACAAAGTAGCTGATTATTTTTAAAACTAGTAACATTGAAGAACAGAAAGTGAATGGGGGAAAATAGATGTCCTTTGGAACTTAATATTCCTCTCGTAAGTCTTCTGAATGGTGACAGACAGAACCTAAGAGTTGATAATTACCACAGCGTAATACCTGCCAGTTCTACTTTTTTCCCTGTAGCATTATACTTTTTAAAAACCACCTTTCTGTTTTAAGTTTCTTTGAATAATATCCTTTTAAATGAATATTATTTTCTCTAAGACATCTTTTTGGAGTCTAATTTGATTCTTTTTAATCTTTGATTCTTATGGCCATCCTAAGGTAGTTCTATCAGTATTCTGTTCATAAAATGATTTCAGTTTCTTAGAAAAAACCCTAATTCCCACTGACTGTTCTTTCGCTGCTACGCAGAATCTGTTTTTCTCCCCACCCCACCTTCATTCCTTCCTTAACATCCTTTTAAAATGTGGTATTCTGTTAGAAGACTAGGGGAAAAAGTTGAGGTCCTGAAGAGATTTCTCTGAGTCATTCCATTAAGATCTACAACTATTTGGATCTGGCTTTACATTTTACCAATGACTTTGATGTAATTATTTTGGACCAAATCTGAGATAGCTAGCTATTGGTAGTTATCTCTCACCCTTCAAAAATTTTTTTCAAGATGTAAACAGTCTTGAAATGAGCCAGAACTAGGAAGATGAATTTTCATAGGAATGAATGTAAATGGTATCAAGGTAACTCCACTTGTATAGGATGGGCGAGAACTGAGTAAATCATAGTTGATTTGAAAAGGGCTTCAGTTTATGGAAATATCTCCAATAAATAGTAACTTAACCAAGATACATTATTTTTCTTCTGTGTTCATGAAGTCTACTCAGTCAGTCCAGGATAGATAGAGCAGTCATCTGGATTCTCTGATAGGTACATCAGATATTCTAACTGTATGTAGTCTTCTGCTTCCTATTTGATCTTTTCTTTGTGTGCTTCATTTTGAGTTGTGTATTTATTTTTATGATTGCCAAGTCATAGTTTCTCATTCACAGAACTGATGAATTCTACTTGGGGAGGTAAAGAAAAAGGGTTTTGGCATAGTATTGATAAGAAATATCACCCAGAAAGGAATTTCTCTGAAGCCGTCTGTGTTCTCTATTATTTCTCCTGGAATCAAATATACATAGAGAAAGTAGATCAGTGAGTGCATTTTTACTTTCAAAAGAAATCATTGAACTTCTTTATTTTCCTTGTCATCTTTGGTCAGGGCCAGGGGAGATCATCCATTTAAAATCTGTGTAACACCAACAAAAGTATGATAGCAATGCAAATTTTAAATTGACTTAAATATTTCTAAGTTAATAGTAATATTTTATGTAAATATTAGGTAAAATGATTAAACTTCTAAAATACAAAATTTTTAAAAAGGTAAATCAGTGATGAAAAATTCCATTATGATATACGTTTCATAATTTGATTTATAACTTGTTTCCTAGTTGTATTTACATTTGTCTCTTTGATTAATTGAGTTATTTTTTTCTGGTTGGGTTACATTTGAGCAGTTTTAAGATTAACATTTGAAATTTTATAATTTCTTATAAGTGGCACCTATTTAATGTGCTCCTTCTTTAGGTAAAATGAAATTTCACCATAATTTATGTCCTCAAACTCAGCTAATGAGCATATTTTAAAAGAAAGAATAGTGATGATAACTTTGATACAAAATAATTTTTTTTGCCTTATTATATACTTACATGATACAAGTGAAAATTAAAGCCTTTCGCATCATATTTTCAAATAAAAAGGTACTTTTAAAATTTCTGTCCTTGGTTAAGAAATGGTTTGTTTTTGTTTTGTCGGTTTTTAACATCACTTCTAGGAATGGGACAGAGTGCTTTTTAGACTGGTCTTTTTCAGGAACACGTTTAGGGCATTAACCTGGTATGATCTGCTTTTCCTTTTCTGTTAGGCTTGGATCCCTCATTCCTGTGTGTGTGTGTACCTCCGTTTGCCCCCTTGGCCTTCCTGTCTTCCTTTTTGTATTCCTTTCCTTTACTTTCCTTTTGTTACTTTCTTTTCATCCTAAGCCTATGCTTGTGGTCTTTTACCTTGAAATTACCTAACTACCTAATTCTTAACATGGCTGGGTATTGTTAATGTCATGTTATTATTCTTATTCTTTTTCCTTCAAGTCTGTATCTAGGGTTGTGTATTTAACACTAATTTATTATCTGTATATGTACTTTGCCATTGGTAGTTGAAACAGGAACATGGATTTTAATAGTCCGATATAAGCGGTGTTGGTCTTATTTTTCAGGCCAGAGATCCTCAGCAGGAACCTATGGAAGAGATAGAAAATTTGAAGAAACAGCATGATTTATTAAAAAGGATGTTACAGCAGCAGGAGCAACTGAGAGCTCTGCAGGGACGACAAGCTGCTCTTCTTGCTCTGCAGCATAAAGCAGAGCAAGCTATTGCTGTGATGGATGACTCTGGTATGCCACCATCTTGGAATGTTGTGTCTATAAGCAAGGCTCGATAAATAATGATAAAACTGCAGGGTGGATGCTGGTTATTATATAATCAGATTTTGATTGTTGTCTAGTTTAGAAACCTTCATGTGAGCCTTACACTTTCCTGTGCTTTTCTCTGGTTATGCAGAAAAAGTTGCAGGGACAACTCCTGGCCATCATTCTGTGCCATGCAGACAGCCAGCTCGCTCTCCTTTTCATCAGAGAGTACCCTTAAGAGGTAAAAGGGACAGGCTGTAGTTCTGTTTTTGTACCTCAGACTGATTGGGCTTTTGTTGCTTTTATTTGTATCTTTTATACTTTATTCAACTTGGATTGCTGTATTTTGCTTGCCTATCAAGGAAGGGTGAAACCTTAAGTGAGACAGTGAATAAATTTAAACTTACTTAGCTTCTGACATGAGTAATAGCTCTGTTACTCCAGTGAAGTATCCAGTTATATACACTAGTTCCTGAACTGTATTTGTGTGCTGTCCAGTCTTCCTCAAACTCAGAATGTTCTTTTCTTTCTTCTTCCTTCCCTCATAGCCGTGTATTGCTTAGATGGAAATTATATTGAATTCTTTAGTACTGAGTCTAACTTTATAGTTTGTCTCATTACCTTCAGACCTATGTGTTTAATTTCTCATTAAGTTGAAAACAAATTATTACTTATTAAAACTTGATAAAACTAAGGTGTATTTTCTAGTAGTCTGCCATCCCAGTCTAATAATAGTTTATCTCCTGTGAGCTCTCCATTTTAGATTCTTAACTAAGGTTACCCTGTTGTTACTCAATTTATCATGCTGTCCACACCTAGCGCACTGGCTCAGCCCTCTGATCACTGTTATACGTAATTTAATTTTGCATTTTCATAAGAAATTTTGACTTGCAAGTAACTTACTCTTTTGTAATAATGATTTAGTTGTATATAATATATTGTGTAGTATATAATACTAATTATACAAATTTTTATCCCCATTTTTCTCTTGTGAAATTCAAAGTATCATTAGCTTTTACATTTATTTTAGGAAAACACAAACTATTTTAACGATGACTGGTACTAGTTTGGTTAGTGACCAACCTTTTAAATATTTTTCCAGTTTGGAGTATTAGGTTTCGGAGATTTTCCTATGATAACGTTGTTTCAAATAGTTACATTTACATCATCTCATTTGATCATCACAAAATTGTAGGTTAATTGCCAGAGCTTTTTAAGAAATTCTCATTTTATAGAGAAGGAACTCTAACACAGAGTTCATGACCTGCCTAGGCTTTTATGGAATTTTAGTAGAATCAGATGTCTTGAGTTGTAGGTCCGGGGTCTTCTATTTCTAAGTATAAACCTTTATTTGTTTATTTTTTTCCAAAGAGAAACATTAATTTATTTGACCACATAGCAGTTTTTTCATCATAAACTATCATAAACAAATTAAAAGGAAAATGATAAATTAGAAAATAGCAGGAAAAAAAATCTCATCATCCTTATAAATAAAGCACTCTTCGTTTAATCTACATGAGCAAGACAATTGAAAATATAGACAAAGGATAATGGAAAAGCAATTCACAGAAAAATAAATTCACATCAACACCAAGCATATGAAAAACTATTCAACCACATTTAAAATTATGGAATTACACATCATAACAAAAGCAGGAAATTTTTTTTTGTATTTCATGGTGGCCAAAGTTAATGAATATATATTCAGCCGAACTGACTAAGGCAGGATTGGCAGACACAAAGCACATGTGCTTCTGTACTTCCACCCCTCATTGAGGCTAAACACTGACTGATCTTAGCATTCTTTGCTGCTGGACCCAGATGTGGCCTTGCCATCCTTCCCATCAAGGAGTACCAGGTTACCACTGCTACATAATCGATGCTGGTACTCCAGGTGAAATGTGTTTGCCATTCCTAAAGTTTGATGAAAGTGGGGCTGTCTACATGGTTAGTCCTTGGCAGCCTAATTCAATAATACTATTTTTTTAAGGTATGATAATCATAGTCTTTAGCTAGGAATCCTTTTTAAGGCGCTAATCAGAGATGAGGACACACATTTATGTACAAGGCTGGAATTTACAATACTAATTCCAAAAGTTAAGTGTTGGGAGTATTGGAAACAATTTTAACACAATTAGATTGGTTAGATAAAGCATATTAAATGCATAAAAAGAAAATTTACATAATGCTTATGTTTCCAAAATTAATACTATAAAAATAATACATCCTGTTAAATTGAGAGGGGAGAGGCAAAAAACACATTGTAAACCTTTATTTTTAAGTAAGCAGGTAATCTTTTGTGTGTGTGTGTGTGTACTATCATGAGTTAGGGACCAGGAGTAGAATGAACAGGAGTTTAAATTTGTATTTATTTTATATACTAATTCAAAAAGATTCTTTGGTTAGTAATTTAAAAATAGATTTTGTCTTGTATTTATGAGGTTTTGCTGGAGAATATTGATTAAAAAACAGGCTTAAGAGTATTTAATCTGGTATATAAGAGGCAAAATAATTGTCATGAGAAAGTTTTCCTTTCATCATTTAACTAGCATTTTGTATGTTATCTAGACAGTAACTTCTTTTTTTCACATAGTTTGGACTGGATATGTGGGATTCTATCCAGCTCTGAAATTCTAACTTCTCATTGAAAAAGCTAGTATTTTCTTTTAAAAGAGAAGCAAATTTATAGCCAGTGTTTCTTCTAGAGCTGGAAAGAATAAGCATGGGTTGGTTGGCTAGGAGAGCAGTAATTTACAGAATTGTCATCAGAATACTGCCTTAGGAATACTTACGTAGGAAGATAAAAACTGGTCTTTTAGTATAACTTCTATCACAAGTAGCTGCCTCAGTAAATTATCTGTTCTACTGCAGGGGTCAGCAAACTGGCCAGATGGATTAGGCCCAATACCTGAAATAAAGTTTTGTGAAACACAGCCACGTCCATTTTTTTATATATGGTACATAGTTGGTTTTGTCTTACAATGGCAGGAGCTGGGTAGTTGAGACAAGAACTGTATTCCCACAAGGCCTAGCATATTTACTATCTGAATCTTTAAGGAAAACTTGCCGGCCCCTGTACTAGAGCACTGATTCTGCTGGGGGAGGTGGGTTTGAGAGCTGTCAGAATCAGCTGTGCTTTTTCATACTAACCACTTTCCCTGCCACTCCTCCAACCTAACCTGATAGACCTGCCCGCACCCCTACTGTGTTGAGTCACTTTTCTTAACCGGGACGTAGTAGTATCCCTCCTTGAATGTTGGGACAGAAAAAGATGAACCACCATACTGGAGTTTTGTGGGAGTTTTTCCACTTTTAGATTAGATGGAAACTTCTAATAAAATGATTGGTTGGCAGATAAATCTGAAGGTTAGCTAGTTTCAAGTTATGGTAGGTGGTTTTTTTTTAAAGTTCCTTTTTTCCTCCAAATTTATTTTTAGCTTCTCATAAACTGAAAAAGTGTTGATTTTAATTATTTGCTTTAATGAATAGTTGTTAATTTTCTTTTCAGTTGTAACAGAAACTACAGGTAGCCTATCTGGAGTTAGTATCACATCTGAGCTAAATGAAGAATTGAATGATTTAATTCAGCGTTTTCATAATCAGCTTCGTGATTCTCAGGTAGCTTAATTTTTTTTTTTTTTAGTATACTGGGTATAAAAATCACATTAATTAACACAGTGCTTCTTAAACTTTACTGAGCATAAGTGTCACTTGGCATGATTGTTAAAAATTGTAGATTTTTGGTTAGTAGGGTTCCCCCACCTCCAAAATTATGATTTATCTATTTGGGGTGGACATCCCCCCATGTGATTCCAGTGCTGGTAGTCTGGGCACTATACTTAAGCAAACACTTAATTAGAGGAAAAATCCACTTTGAATGAAGTAGTCTGATTAGTGAAATTTCCTGTTTGCATGCTCCTAGATGACACATTCTCATTTCATCTCAGAAATTGTTAACAGTCATAGTTGTTAAGTTTGTGTGAATCTATATTTCTGCAAAATTTTAGTAACAATTTTAAGAAAGTTCTTAAGTTTAATTTCAGAGTTAATAAGTTATAATTTGATGATCTTTGTAAATAATGATATAAATGCAAAATTTCTATCTGTGGGCCTTGAGCAAGAAAGGGTGAATTAATACCTCTCCACCGGAAATGAGTATGATTGAAGATGCATTACCTCCTGTCTGCTGACCAAGTTAAAATAAAAGGATCCAGCTACTTTGGAGAGTTATTTAGCAATATGTAGTACATTTTTTCTAGTGCCCTGCAGTGGCCCACCTTGGAGAAACTGTCACATGTTCATAGGGAGATAGGCACAAGAATGTTCATGGCAGCGTTATGTTAATAGCAAACCAGAAACAACCTAAATGTCCATGA